ACAGTTATATAGGGAATTTATTCCCCAGTGAGTTTTCCGGTGTTCTTCCCTTACTAGTGACCATAGCAAATTAGAGGGGATGACTAATTTCCTTTTGCCTTCTTCAGTAATAGCCCATCCCTCTTGGTTATACTCTCCCTTTTGACTTTCAATTAATTTTCTGTCCTTTTTGTTATTTACTGGCTTACCTTCAAGGGGCATCTGCCCATCTGGGATTAGGGCTCCCTCAGTTGCTACCTCACCTTTTGCTGCTTCTTTTGCCTCTCTGTCCGCCAGAATGTTTCCTTCCTCCAATTCTGAGCTTGCCTTCTGGTGTGCCTTAATGTGCATGATTGCTACCTTTTCAGGCAGCTGAACTGCTTCCAATAATTGCATTATTTCTTTTGCATGTTTGATGTTTTTCCCTTGCGAGTTCAACAGTCCTCTTTCTCTCCAGATGGCTCCATGTGCGTGTACAACCCCAAATGCATACCTTGAGTCCGTATAGAAGTTTATTTTCTTTCTTTTTGCTATTTCTAAGGCACGGGTCAGAGCAATTATCTCAGCCTTTTGTGCAGAGGTATCTGTTGGCAAAGGTCCAGATTCTATTGCCTCTTTGCAAGTGGTAACTGCATACCCAGCATGTCGTTTTCTGCTGATGATGTAGCTGCTCCCATCAGTGAACCAGATTTCCACATACGGCTGGAATAGGTCGATGGTCTCCAGGCAGTCGTGGTGCACTGGCTCCCCTTTGGTTTCTGCTGAGGAAAGAAGCTGGGTTGACAATGTTAGTTACCACTATTTCTACATCATCTACCATGATAGCTTGGTATTTCAGGAACCTTTGTGGGGAAAGCCAGTGACCACCTTTCACTTCCAGCACTGCAGACACTGTGTGAGACACTAGCACAGTTATTTTCTGGCCCAAGGTGAACTTGCATGCTTTCTGGTTATTTAGCACCACTGCTACAACGGCTCTGAGGCATCCTGGCCATCCCTTGGCAGCAGCATCCAGCTGCTTAGAAAAATAAGCAACTGTCCTTCGATACGGGCCCAGGTCCTGTGCTAGTATTCCCAGGGCAATCCCCTGTTTCTCATGGGAGAAGAGGAAGAATGGTTTATTCACATCTGGAAGTCCCAGAGCTGGAGCTGACATGAGAGCCTTCTTTAGTTGGTCAAAGGCTCGCATGGCCTCTTTTGTCCATTGGAGGTTCCTGTTCCCATTTGCAGTGAGTGCATACAGCGGTTTTACAAGCAATCTGTAATTATAGATCCACAGTCTGCACCACTCCGTCATTCCCAAAAAGGTTCGCAGTCCTTTTATTGTCTCTGGTTTCGGGTTTGACATATTGCTTCGTTACAATCTTGCCCCAAGGTCTGTTGTCCGGCACTAACCTCATAACCCAGGTAAATCACCTTCTGCTTTACCACCTGAGCCTTCTTCTTTGATACCCTGTACCCCTGGAATCCCAGAAAGTTTAGGAGGCTTACCGTCCAGGCCACACATGCTTCTTCTGTCTGGGTGGCTATTAGGAGGTCATTGTCCTGGTTTCATTTAGAACAGAATTAATTTTCTTCCTAGTAGCTGGTGGAATGCTGTGTTTTGGCTTAGGATGAGAAGAGTGCTGATAACACCCCGATGCTTTAATTGTTGCAGAGCAGTGCTTATACTAAGCCAAGGACATCTCAGCCTTTTGCTCTGTCCTGCCAACGGGCAGGTTGGGGGTGCAGTAAGAGCTGGGAGGGGACAGAGCCAGGACAGGTGACCCAAACTAGCCAAAGGGGTATTCCATACCATCTGACGTCATGCTAAACAATATATAGGGGTGGCTAGCCGGGGGGAGGGGGCCGGACTGCTCGGGGTTAGGCTGGGCATCGGTCAGCGAGTGGTGAGCAATTGCATTGTGCATCACTTGTTTGTACATATTATTATTATTTCCCTATTATCACCATTGTATTATTATTGTTATTATTGTTATTATTATTTTGTTATTATTATTTTCCTGTCTTATTAAACTGTCTTTATCTCAACTCACGGGCTTCACTTTCCATTTCTCTCCCCCGTCCCAGAGAGGGAGGGGGGAGGGTGAGCGAATGGCTGCGTGGTGTTTAACTGCCAGCCGGGTTAAACCACGACAGTCTTTTTGGCGCCCAACGTGGGGCCCGAAAGGTTGAGATAACGGCAGATCTGACCAGAGTGTGTTAAACTAAAATTGGTGTAAGGATTAGACCTGCTTAATAGTCACTTGTCATAATGCTGATTGCTTTAATCTCAACTCTGCTGCGCCTGTTTTCCAAATTGAGTATTATAGTACATTATTTTCCATATTTGCTCTCTGTCGTGTTGTTTATCCTCTCCGGGTCCTGGTTTCAGATCATTATGGTACTGTGTGTTGTAGCAATGGCTTATGAGACGATGAAATATGTGGTCATGACTCTAACTTGTTATTTGTATTCAGTAACATCGTCGACTCTGTACTTTGGAAACTGTATCTTGGAAACTATTAGCAATTATACCTATTGTTTTTTTCCATTAGGGAGTCAATCTGTGGAGGGGAAAGGGGAGGATATTTTTCCTTACTTGCTTACTCTCCCTTTCTCCTTCACCACCCCTGTATCCTCCTGGATCACTCTGCCTTCCTCCTTCACCACCCTCTTATCCCCTGAGCTTGTCACAATAGCTCTCCAAGATATTGAATATTCTTGGGATACTCGGACCACCATAGTCTTGTTGTTCTGCCTCCTGAATGCACTTCAGGTTCTGCTTAAAGTTAAACAATTACTTAGGAAGCTCATCCGGAGATCTGCCCGGAGGCAGTATAGTTGTGGGTGGCAGGGAGTATGGGTGGATATGGGCAGGCATCTAGAGCAGTTGGCACCCCCAGTGTGTTGGAAATTCACCCCTGAACAATGGCAAAATCCTCAAAAACTGGCAGAATGCTTGAAAAAAAGGTGTCATGATTCTGGCAGTTCCAAAGTAACACAAATCATTGTAACGTGCTGGGGCCTGGCTCATGCCTATCGAGCTGCCATTGATACTGCTATCAACTTAGTGACAGACCCTGCGGCCACTCCAAGCCCTGTGACAGATCCAACGGCCACTGTGACCCCTACGGTGGATTCTGCAGCCGCTCCAGTCCCAGCTCCTGCAGCCGCTCCAGTCCCAGCTCCTGCAGCCGCTCCAGCCCCAGCTCCGGCTGCTACTCTAGTCCCAGTTCCTGCAACTGCTCCAGCTCCTGCAGCCGCTCCAGCTCCTGTGGCCGTGTCAGAGAAACAAGCTGTAGCAGTGCAAGTTGACCCTGCAGAGGGTATTCCAACCCCTGTAACGGGGTCAGAGAAACGAGCTGTAGCAGTGCAAGTTGACCCTGCAGAGGGTATTCCAACCCCTGTGGCAGACCCTGTAACAAAGTCAGAGAAACGAACAGTAGCAGTGCAAGCTGCCCCTGCAGAGGGTATTCCAACCCCTGTGGCAGACCCTGTAACAAAGTCAGAGAAACGAGCAGTAGCAGTGCAAGCTGCCCCTGTAGAGAAGGTGAAAAAATGGTATAGAGATTCAGGTCGTTTAGAACGCAGAGAGTCTTCTGCCAATCCAGGTAAGGCTTCTGCCAAAACTAGGTATAGAGATGACGAAGATGACGACGACGCTGGGCCATCAAGGATTCAGGAGGAGGAAGATGAGGATGTCGAAAAATCAACAGTAACTACCCGAAGCCTAAACGAGCGCGAGCTACGAGATGTGCGAAAAGATTTTGGTCGCTGTATAGGTGAGCAGCTTGTCACCTGGCTGCTCCGGTGCTGGGACTCTGGAGCCAATTGTGTGGAATTAGACGGCAGGGAAGCCAAGCGGCTGGGATCCCTTGCTCGAGACGCCGGCATTGACAAAGCAATTGCAGATGGAGCACAATCCACCAGCCTCTGGAGGCGTCTCCTCTCAGCTGTGAGGGAAAGGTATCCCTTCAAGGAAGAACTTTTATGTCTACCAGGCAAGTGGACCACTATGGAGAAGGGAATCCTGTACCCCTGGAATCCCAGAAAGTTTAGGAGGCTTACCGTCCAGGCCACACATGCTTCTTCTGTCTGGGTGGCTATTAGGAGGTCATCTACGTATTGCAACAGCCTTCCTTCTCTTGATGTGGCTTCCCAGGTCTCCAAGTCCTTTGCAAGTTGTTCTCTGAATAAGGTGGGTGAGTTCTTAAAGCCCTGAGGCAACCTTGTCCATGTGAGCTGTGTTTTGTGCCCACTCTTAGGGCTTCCTGTTTCTAAATCCCCAGGAAGTGTCATCTTGAGCTACTCTATGTAGGATCTTGTTGTTTGTTTGTTTGTTTTTTCCCAAATATTTTTGAGATCAGTCGAATTCATCCCATTGTTCAGCAACTAGTATTAATTACAGTGCACACTCCTCCTTGATTCTAGAGTACTATTTTTGCAAACTCATCAAACTTATTTTCTAGTTCTTCAATATATTTACAATAGCGTTTTCTAATTCACTCACCCCTAACCAAGGTAAAAAACACCTTGCAAAACTGTGAAATGCTAGAGATTTTTACTAGAGGATTATCTGGAGTCTGCTTAATTCTGTATGTGGTCTCAAGGGGGCTTTGGCTTTGCAGGTCTTCAATAATAGTTACATTTGTTACATTTGGAATTATTGCCTCCAGGGTGCAAGCTCCCTTCCATCCTAGGGGCAACACCTTCCTGGCTTTATTGCCATATAGCCAGTACCACACCCATTTCCACACCCAGGGTCAGTACTATTGCCCCCTGAGTTTTCTATAAATGTTGTTTAAAAGGCACCTGTGATAACAGAGTATATTGTAGCCAGGAATATGAGTAGGGAGCTCAGCTTCAAAATCTATTCCTTCCCGGGACTGGGTATGGTCTGTCATTTTTAGAAATCTAGAGAATCCAGACACAGTTGCTGCTGGAAATAGCAATCAGGGACAAGGCCTCTTCAGTCTTTCTAGGCATCTGGGTGCAAATCCAACAGTTATTTTGAGAAAGAACTCAGGAGATGTTCTGGATTAATTGGAAATACTGATTTTTCCCTCCATCCTATCAATAATCCATTGAGAACAGGTATTCCTAAGATAAACTTAAAACACAAGTACATGTATATTTGTATATACATCCCTGTAATAATTAAGAAATAATAATTAAGAAAAAACAATAAAAATCACAAACTGATAAGGATTCTTCTGGTGGGGATTAAATAGCCCCCTTTCTTTTTCTCCCACTTCCAGGGAGTGTTCCCTGTAAACACTCCAATTCTGTGTAATTCAATCCCTTTTACTCATTAATTCATTAAGAATTCTTCTAAGGAGAAGTTAAAGGTTTACATAGATAGTTTCAACAGTTTTAACCTTAGAAGTCTTTGTTAAGGCAGTCTCTCTGGTATCAGGGTTAACTGATGCTTTTACCCAGGAATGAGTCCACCCTTTCTCAGCCGTTCTTACTGTCGTCTCAGTAGTCAGGAGCACTTGGAACAGTCCGTCCCACTCAGGTTGCAGCTTCTATTCTCTCCATGTTCACATCAGAACCCAACCTCCAGCTCGGAATGGATGGATCAGGGCTTCCAAGGGTGGGGTTTGAGCTAACAGTCCATAGGTCCTGAGAGATGACAAAGAGGACGACAGCCTGAGTATATAGTTCTTAAGAAAAGCATCTTTGGCCCTAATTGAGGTAATTCATTCCCTTTGTGTGTGTACAGCAATCCAAATAATATTTCATATGGTGAATCTCCCACATCTTTTCTTGGTGCAGTTTGAATTCAGAGAAGTGCCAAAGGTAAGCACTTCATTTGTGGAAGCTGAGTTTCCAGAACATAGTCAATTGCTTCTTCACTGTCTGATCCTCTCCACCCTTCCAGAAGAGGAAGGATGCCAAGGAGTGTGAAATTTCCACTTCATTCCTAGAGTCCACATTAGGCCTTGCAATATTTCTGACATAAAGTGATTTCCTTGATCAGAGTCAATATTTTCAACAATTCCATACCTGGGAGTTATTTGTTCTAGAATTACTTTAGTTACTATGTTCACAGTAGCAGATACTGAAGGGAATGCTTCCACCCACCCTGACAAATGATCTACCAAGACTAATAAGTATTTAAATCTACCTACTCTAAGGATTTCTGTAAAATCTACCTGTACATTTTGGAAGCGTTGAATTCCTGGTTCTCACCCTCCTTTGGGCTGACTGTGGATAATTTTCCTATTTACCTTTTGACATACTACACAACTCTGGCATACTTGTTCAGCCAGAGAATATATATATTCCTACGCATACATATTTCCATAGCACAGCGTCACACATTGCTTGAGTTCCCCAATGTCCCTCTTGATGTAAAACAGTTAATATTTGCCTCCTTAGCACTTCATTTAGCGTTTCTCTCCCCTCAGGGAGTATCTGTTTTCCTTTGGACTTCATGACTCCTAACTCCCTAAAAACCTCTTTCTCTTAAAATTTTTTAGTTCTTTTTAGTTTTGGGTAGGGGTAACTCAATTCCCTGAATCCTCTCTGGATTTATCTTTCATTTCTCCTCAGATATTTGATGCCCAAAATATTTGACTTCTCTTTGTTGAAGGATTTTTGAAACAGCAAGGAGGCCATGACTTGCTTCAGCTGAGCAAACCAAGCTACCAGGACGACTACGAGGAGTTCCCATGAGGATGTTCCCTTGTTGCCTGATTGAGGAATTAAAAATATTGTTGCCAGCACCTAGCTTCAAGGACGAGATCTACATGACTGCTAATCACAAGGGGGTTGTTTTCTTGCGGGTGGGGTTGTTTTCGTTCAGTTGTTTGTCTGAGTGCTTTGGACCAATAATCTTGTGTGAGACACTATCCACCCCTATTAAATTTGCTATAAAAGTCAGGCTATTCGGGTAATAAAGGGAGAGCATGATCTGACCATATTGGTGTATGTCATGACTTCGGCCTTTCTTCTGGCAACAAAAGGCGCCCAAACACGGTGGGACTCAGGACATCAGTGATCGAGCTAGACCTCGAAACTTCTACGGGAGAACGGAGGAGTTGGTGAAGACAGGGGACGAGTAGCACTGTGAGCCCAGAAGAGTGGCGGGAGGTAGGAGATCGCTTATGGGATAAAGCCATTTGAAGTGGAAAGCTGGATAAAGAAGTAAGTGGGACGTAGTGGACAGTGATCAATGCGCTGTGCGGTATGAAAACCGAGCAGCAGGAGGTGATGGCAGCGGCGCAAGCTCTAGCAGTACCGCCTGGGACTGACAGAACGCCTGGGGCAAAGCGCCGTCTGCCCCTCTGTCAGCTCCGGGCACCCGCCCGCCTGCCCCGCCGCCGGCTGCTGCATTTCTCAGGTTTGAGCGCCCGCATGCACGCACCGGGCGCTGCCATGTTCTGCCTGCTGCTGCGCCCGGGCCCGCCGCCCCGCGAGCCGCTGCCCGCCGCTGCCACAGCTTTCCCCCCGCCACCCCCCACCCTCGGGCCGGCCCCTCTGCTGGCGCTGCGGGCCGCCGCCGGCAGCTCGGCCAAGGATGTGGGTGGATCCCCTGAAAAGGCGGCCACAGATCTCAGCAGTGAAAACCAGAAACTCAATAAATCCCAGCAGCTGAAAGCTGCTTTCAAAGAGTGTGGTGCTGTAGGGGTTTCATTCCATGTTGGAATTTCATTAGTATTTCTAGGAATCTTCTACCTGACTATCAAGTGGTGTGGGAATGACTGTAGTGTATTGCTGTTATGTTAGGACGATCAAGTACATCTTTGACCGGATTGTTTGTTTTGTCGAGGATAATTGATGCCGATTATAATGGAAAAAAAAAAAAAAAGAAAAAGAAAAAGTGGGACGCGGAGAGATGCGTCAAAAGAAAAAGAAAAACCCAGTACCTTTGAATATTGTATCAGACTCACAGTATGCTATAGGCATCGCTCAGCGCATTGAGAGGGCACATTTGAGACATATCCCAAAGGAAAACTTGTTTCTAAAATTTAAGGAGCTGTTATTTTCGGTAGAGCAGCAAGTGCACCTGTATTGTATTATTCACATGCAGAGCCACAGGAATTAGATTTCCTGGGAAGCGTAACAGCAACAGCATATGTAAGGTTCAATTGCTTGCGAAAAAAACAAACCATGAAACAAATCGTCAATGCCACACTTGCTCCCTATTGCAATGTATCTCTTTGGTGTAATTATACAAACTATAATAGCATCATTCCTTGTGCCAGGAGCCGCTCTGCTCGGCTGTGGGATCGACTGTGGAGCGGACGCCCCAAGGCGCACCCCAAACATTTTCCTCGGTGGGGTCTTCACTCTCAGCCACTCACCGCGGGAGTAGACAAGGACCTCCTGAAGCCGTGGGCAAATTATTTAAAGTGATATTTTCTTGTGGTATGAATGAGAAGTGCAAGAGGCCTCTTTGCATGATTGTGTGATTGTGCTACGTGGAACAGAGATGCGGTGAGACGTGGAGGAACATGGTGAGACACAGGACGCGGAGAGACATGGAGCAGAGATGCGGTGAGACGTGGAACAGCGACGCGGTGGAACACGGAACAGAGACGCCGTGAGATGCGGGACGCGGTGAGACACGGAACAGGGACGTGGAGAGACACGGGATGCAATATTGTATCAGACTCACAGTATGCTGAGCAGGACCAGTTTGGGTGCCAAGCCAATTTGTGAAGGCCGCCCAAGATGTCTCAAGGGATGGGGAAGTTACTGATGGTGATTCTAATACCTCCAGCAGTGCTTGTGCTCGTGACCAAGATTGAGCCGCGACGAAATCTGTGGGTGACATGGGCTAATTAGACTGGTATATCAGAATTTTGTCTGTCCATGGCATTGTCCACGGATCCGTTCAGGACTTGCCTCATAGGTATACCTATGTATGACCCTTCTGATTTTGGCCAGTATGCTACCAACAATTGCTGCAGTGCCTCATCTGTAGCTGTGTGCTCAGTGAAATTAATAAATTCGCTTACTGTCCCGCTTCCCTGGGATCCACAAGAGTTAGAGTTACTTGGGTCTCAAGAGGATCGGAAACACATCACAGAATTGGACTCAAACATGTTTTGTGTTCAGAAATTTACAGCAAAGATTAAATTGTGTCAAAAACCACAATCCAACAAGGTGGACAAATGTGACTTCAGAAGGGCCATACAGGTACAGAAATACAAATAACACCTGTGGATACAATGACACTGCTAGGCAGGGTTTAGGGGCCTATGGCGCGGAGATAAGGGGTAACAACTATAGCATTTGGAATAATCGTACAGCTATGGCCCTACCTCCTGATGTTTTTCTGATTTGTGGGGATAGGGCCTGGCAAGGTATCCCTGCGAATGCTATTGGAGGTCCATGTTACTTAGGTAAACTTACTATATTTGCTCCTAGCTTGTCACAGTTGCGTAAGATCACCAGACATAAATGGGCATTGCTCACACCAGATTGCAATGATAATGTTGAATTGCTCAGTGTTGTGGCTAGAGCGGCATTGCCAATTTTCATGCCAGGAGCAGCAGCTGCAGCTGCACTTAATAATTTAGAAAAATTGGCATGCTGGGCCAAGAAGCAAGCCCATGCCACGGCAGAGACACTTGAGGAGATGTTACCAGATCAAAATAGTCTGCGACATGCGCTTTTACAGGATCGAGCTGCTATTGACTTCTTGCTCCTGGCTCAAGGGCATGGGTGTGAGGACTTTGAGGGAATGTGCTGTTTGAACCTTTCTGATCATAGTCAATTCACAAATCCATTACTTTCCTGAAAGAGCACATGAGAAAGATTCAATATGATATCAATCCTTTCAATCAATGGCTCACTGATTTGTTTGGGATGATGCCTAGATGGTTACTGGGATTAATCAAAGAGGGATTAAGGATTCTGTTTATTGTGGTGTTAATCATCATTGCGTGTTGTACTGTAATAAATGTAGTTAAAAGGTTACTTGCAAAACTGTTACATCGGGCTTGGTTTGCTCAAAAAGAAAAAGGGGGAATTGTTGAGGGATTTTTGAAACAGCAAAGATCCCATGACTTGCTGCAGCTGAGCAAACCAAGCTACCAGGACAACTACAAGGAGTTCCCATGACGATGTTCCCTTATCGCCCAATTGAGGAATTTAGGAAAATATTGTTGCCTGCAGCTGGCTTCAAGGATGAGATCTATGTGACTGCTAATCACAAGGGGGTTCTTTTCTTGCAGGTGGGGTTCTTTTCTTGTAGCTGTTTGTCTGAGTGCTTTTGACCAGTAATCTTGTGTGAGTCACTATCTGCCCCTGTTAAATTCTCTATAAAAGTCAAGCTATTCGGGTAATAAAGGGAGAGCATGATCTGACCATATTGGTGTATATCATGACTTTCGCCATTCTTCCGGCAACATCTCTTTCTACGAATTTTAATGTATTTTCCAATGCTTTCAAGCCCTATTTTCCCAGAAAGTCGAATGGCTTCCTTCACAGCTGTTTTCTCCTGTCCTAACAATGTCCTAACAATCATCCACATATTGTAACAGTAACACCTTCTTTGGAGGTTGGAATTACTCCAAAATTTGTTCTAGAACTTGCCCAAATAAAGTGGTGGCCCTGTAAACCCCTGAGGTAAAACTGTCCATCTGTATTGCTGCTTCCACCCCATTTCAGGGTCTTTCCACGCAAAGGCAAATATATCTTTGCTCTCAGGGTCTGAAAGCACCCCATTAATAACACCATTATTCCAGTCTATCAATTTACTATTTCAATGCCCAATTTCATTATCAAATCCTTTCCCAACAAGTTAGTCCCTGCCTCAGGTACATACAATAACTGCCCAGTGATCATTCTGTCCCTAGTCTCAGCTTGGTGTCCCCAAAAAGTGGCACTGTTATCCCAATTCCTTCTACCCCCATCACATTTAGGGTTTCATTAGTTAATTTAAGCCTTGATACTTTACAGGCCAGTAATGACCTAGCTGCCTCAGTATATTGGGTTCACATGGCAAGGTTCTGGTATTGAGGACAGCTGCAGTGGTAGCCCCTGTGAGAAGAATCCAGCAGCTGCCCCATGTTAGATGAGGGCCAGTTTCAGCCAGCTCCAAAGGGGTCCACCGCTGCCCAGAGCCAAGCCATGAGCAATGCAGTTTAAATCTCTATGAGAGCGCATCCCAGAAAAGGAAAAAAAATGCTGCACAACAGCAGCTGGGAGAGAAAGGAGTGAGAAACCTCCCTTCAGACACCAAGGTCAGTGTAGAGGAGGGGTAGTACAGTGCAGAGGTGCTCCAGGTGCTGGACCCAAAGCCCCCCTGCGGCCCACAGAGAGGCCCCTGGTAGGGAAGGCAGACCCCACAGCCCATGGTGTACCGCAGCGGAGCAGATCTCCATGCTGCAGTCCATTCAGGACCAGCCCAGGAAGGTCGGCACCCCACAGCAGAGCAGGGGGGAGAGTTACCGTGAAGGAGCAGTAGAAACGAAGCATCATGGACTGACTGCAGCCCCTGCTCCCGGCCCCCCCACTGTGAGATATGTTCATCTGATTCGTGTCAGTATGGAACAGTGCTAGGGCAGCATGGTATGATGAATGTCACCTTCTGTCTTACATACCCTTGTATAACCACAAGTCTAAGAAAAACAGAGTGGTTAATGTGTATAGTTCTTGTATCTTGCAAAAGAATAGTCCAGCAATTTGTGTCAATAGGGGATAAGAGAACAAAGGGGTTTCAGAATAACTGCTAACTATTATGACTATTGCATGGGACACGATGCAAGGCTCTGATATCTGGCCAAGAGATTAAGGAGAAGGGGAAAGCTGAAGGACGACTAAAAGACAAAGCTTGCAGGGGACGCTGTGCAAGTCTCTGACATCCGGCCAAGATGGACAAAGGAGAAGGACAAGATAAAAAGCCTGGGAGGAAGACTACAAGCATTCAGAATGAGAGACCCCCAGACGGACCACCGGAGACTGATACGCATGCGCCAGTAGGAGGGTTTGGATTCCGGGAACTAATTATAATAATCCTGCCTTTTCTAGAAGTAATAATGAATGTGTAGGAGCCTAGGAGAATAAAAACCAGCCGCCTGATGTAACTGGTGTGCGTCTTGGTGGAGCAGAGACTCCCGGTGCTCCTGTTTGCTTATCTCTATTCCTTTAATAAATTGTAAACTTTGATTGTGTTATAAATGAGGTCTCAACTCAATCTGAATTTTGTAATATTTATAAAACAAATATTCCTAAAAGATATAACAGCTATAAAAGGTATAAAAGGCAAGTAAACAGCGCTGGGTGTGCGGGGAGTCTACGCTCCACCAACACGCACACACAAACATCAAACATTCTAAATATATAGAAAATCGCTTTTACATACTAAACCCGAGTATGCCTATACACACGTACAATCAGGAAAGGTAACAAACAGTCCTTTAAGTTCCATAACTTACTAAAATCGAGTACGCCTATACATATTCATGATCAGAAAAGGTAACAAACAATCCTTTAAGTTCCATGACTTAACAGTCTCCATTTTCCATTCCCTTTGAACAATATGTCTCGCTTTAAGTTGTCAAGCAACTTGGTCTTCAGGCCTTATGTATCCCATTCTTCCTGGATCGAAGAAAAGCATATCCATCTCCTTTTCAAGGCCAATAGGCCTGGGTCAAAAGGCGCGTTCAGGTCAACAGGGGGCGTAACAGCAAAAGCCTTCGATGGCTGTAGCAGCAGAGGGGCCGATGTCATAGCAGTCGGATCAGTAAAGGAGCCCGCAGCTCCCTCACTATCTGGCAAGCCACACATTTCTGACTGTGGTCCCACAGGGCTCTTTAAGGCCTCAGAGACTGCTCGCCAGGTGCCGAGCAATCCCACTGCAACCTTGTTATTTTTAGTTGCAGAGTCCCACACCTTGACATCAATTTGGTTCCATGTTTCAGGATCATAAACTGTCCAATTGTTAAGAAGGAGAATAAGCTGTAAGGTTACCAGGACAGTCTTTGTTCCTAAGGACGTATGATTCCCCATAATGCGCAACTGCTTACCAGCGAGAGGCAGTTGTGTGCGCAGGTCCGCTTCTCTCACCTCGAGCTTCTTTCCACCTCCGGTGCGCCCATTTCCAGCGACTTTCTGTACGAGCTTCTCTGAGCAGTTTGCTGAGTTTGGCCGAACCTATCTTCATGAGGCAATCAATGTGCCTGTTCCCGTCCTGGTCTCCATTCTCTCAGCCTGTTCCTTTTCATTCCTTCTTTCTGCTTCTTTATTGATGACGTAACTTCATCACATCGTGTTGCCTTTCTTTTTTTTTCTTTTTTTTTTTTTATCTTGAGGGCAGGCTCCCCTCTTATACCCTTCTCTCCACAGCAGTTCTTTTCAAAACAACTTTTCATTGGTCAGACAACTTTGAATATAACAGCAACAGCAAACACCCAGAAACATCCATGCCTTAATGGCTGGAGAACAAGAGACCAGATGGAGAACAAGAAACCGGAGACTGCATGGAGTCTCCTGAATCACCCTTCTTTGTTCCCTCTAAGCTCTTTTATATTCCTGATGGCCTCATCGTTAAGAGTCTGATGTTATCTCAACCATGGGGCTTTCCAACCCCCGTGGCCACATTCCCAAATCTCCCCCTTCTATATTAATATCAACCGTTTTCTCGACACGAATTACCACTCCATATATAACAATTAGAAACTGGAATGATAAGGTCCCCAGAAGATGAAAGAGTAAATTAAAAATGGTCCAGTACTGTATGATAGAATGACCAAAAGAACCTTTAAGACCCCATGTATTTTGACCAATATTTGGGTCCACGGAGGACTGGGTCTGTCAGGCTTTGAACATTAATGTTACTAGTAGAATATCCGTGGACCCAGAAGAGAGCAAGTGTGCTGCAGCCTGGCTGGGACTAACGGAATCGCCCCGCCACTTGTATATTCAATTTAATTAAGTATTGCAATCAATGGTGGCCACTATATAAACTAAATGGCCACTTTTTGG